TCCCTTTTCTTTGCTTATGTCTGTTCCCAGGTCTCCTTGTTGATCCCCCTAAGGAGTTAAACACAATATGTCTTAGAGCCACAACACTCAGGCATCTCTGCGATAAAAAAGAGTAGAAAGTGACTGAAACCAGGACACTACCTTAGCCTATTATTTGCATAGAGAAATTAAAACATGTATAGATATGGATAAATACTATGTTTAAACACTGGGTGAGACATTGAAAATAAACACAGGAAGCTGAGGAAAGAAGAGCTTAGTGATACAGCGAAGAATGCAAAGCGATGCATTTATTCACTCATCAGGGAATTAAATCACATTGAATAGCACGAAATGCAACTGCTCTGACACCCCTCCATTTTTTCCAAAAAAACAGAAAGATTTCTGATAAACGAGACTTGCCAGCAAGAAATCTCATGCATAGTAATATGGAAAGCGTGATATAGGGGACCTGACTCATCCCAGAACCGATCCTATTTACATATCTCTGGCTGAATGTCTTGCAGTGATGCTCTTGCACACAGCACTGAAACGCTTGCCGTGGGCACTGGCACTTCATTTGGCAATAAAATTACCCCATGGAGGAAAAGGTACAGGGTTTACTGGCAAAATAATGAGAATAAACTCACCTCCAGGTTAAATATTTGCGGAGGCACTTCCTGCATTAATGAGTTTGTTTGTAGCAGCACAATGTTAGCTTGAGATGCACAGCCCCTAGGCTAGAGATGATCCATCAGCAGGTACAGTACCTGCATATCTGAGAACCTGCCTTAGGCTGTATCTGCTCATACCTCTCAACGTGGGCAACATCATCATCAGATACAGAAGGATTGCACATTGTACAGGGATTGCACTAGATGACCTTCCAAGCCAAACTGTTCTATGATTCTATGAGTCCATTAACTAATCACATTTATAGAGCGCTGAGAATGTAAGATTTTTTCTTCCCCTTCGAACAAAGCAGTTTAAATTCAAATACGCTGATATATCACCAGGCCATTTCTCATAGCACACACTTTTCACAATAAATCAGCCAAATATAAGCAGTATCACAAATGTGTAAAATTATGCTGAATAGATTAGCTGCCTCGGTTCACAGTTTATAGGCACTACTGGTTGGGAGGTGTGGCTGAAAGAATACGTCGCATCTATAGTACCCGTAGCAAACTCGGATGGCACCTTCTAAGTAATAGCACTGCCATCGGTTTTACCTACAGAGGTACTGACATTTCAGTGTCTATTTTTGTATTTCCTAAAGTTACATGCAGAATGGAAAAACCCCACAAATTCAAAGAGCTACCTAAGGTGCACAAGGTTGCTTTGATCTGCCCACTGTTCCAAAGGTGGTTTGGAGGATACATGCATTAACCAGACAAAAAGCATCCTGTAGTGCTCTGGATTGTCTGCAGTTGATGGCTTGTGGGCACAAACCCCATTTCTCTCATTTCCTTAGAATAATAAATTCCTTAAGCTTTTAACATCTTTCCTTACCTGAAAGGAGTCAGGTTGTTGTGAACATCCTCCAGCAGCCACCACAAGAAAGCGAATCATATTTTCCCTCCCCAAAAGGCAGAAATAGACTTTTACCTGGCCTGTTCCCCTTGACGGATCCAAACAAGAGCCACATCAAAAGGCACAAGAGCTCCATGGGACTTGTTCACATCTTTTCTCCACAACACTGAGGATGGTGAAGTTTCTTAGAAGTGATGGGCTGGTGCCAGCCAAGCCAAGGAGCCTTCTACTGCCTGGTTGGACGGGTGGGGAGCATCATCACTCTGTGTGCACAGCAAGGACTTAGCTCTTTGGTCAGCAAATCGTCATTTCACTGGGCTGGCTCTGCAAGAGACAATAAAGTCTGCTCTCTGTTCAGGTATTAGTAGCTTTAATCCAGGAAATCAAGCTTAATGCTCAGCGTGGTGGTGCGTGCTGTTGTGTGTAGGAAGTGGTTTGACACATCAGACCTACTGACTCCAGAGCTGTTCCACTAGAGCTGAGGTCAGTAGAAGGGGGCAAGATTTATTGGGTTTGTGGAGCCACTCAATGCCAAATCTGTGGCTGGGCAGGCATTTGGGAGGGACCACTGCTGGACTATAGTTGCCTGGTGTATGATAGTGGACCTCAGACTCCACCTGTGGGCTCTACCTACACAGAAAAGATCCCATGGTGTATTGGTTTGGCTTTTTGGAGATCTTCTGCTAATGATGATAAAGCCACACTTGTTTTTTGATGTATGCATGTTTGCAGTCTCTCTGCCAGCTGAGCTTCTGAAGGATGGACGGTTTGATCAAAAACAACCGATGAAGACGAGGCTGGCAGGTTTGGAAAGGGTTTCTCTTGTTCCTTGCTTCAGTGAAATCTATTCTTGCAAATGTCAGTGGAAAACTGGAAATGATCAAGGAAGTTTCATGCTTTATGTAGTTTTCCTTCAGCCATTTCCACAGGAATTACTATTTGTTAGTACCTAGAGAATTAGTTGTGATGGACTATTGAAAGCCACATTTAAACTATCTGTGGTATTGTATCATGATTATTACATGCTGGACATTTACTTCTCCGTTATAAATCCTCAAGGGAAGAAGTCTTCCTAACAGGCATGCTAAGAAAGAGATGTGATATGCTTTTAAATGCTGCTGTTGCTGCATACATCAGTCATAGACACAGATACGGAGGATGCTGTGTTAGTATCTCTGTTTAGAGACTCTCCTGTCCTTACATTCTGCAGGGTGATGGTCCTGTGAAACGCAGCTGACATAAGGGAGACCAAAACCAGGCCTTTTTGAGGGATGAATAATGTGATATCTTTGGAGGGGTAGCACCAATCTGCATCTTCTCCCCTAGCATGAGAAAAAGTGCAAACAAGACTTTAAGCAGTGCTCATAAGAGCAGCAGACAGAAGAGATGCTGAAGCCCCTGTTATCTCTCTCCTGCACCCTTTTCATGAAAGCTTTTGTGCAGCTTCACTGATGCAGGTGACAAGTCCTCTCATAGGGTTGAATGAGGCTTTGGCCAGAAGATTACTGCCCAAACCCAAATGCAACAGGGCACAGAGAACATGTAAGGCTTATGGAGAAACTGCTGCGGGTAAAATGCTTTGCTCACCCTGGGGCTGCTCCATGCTCCACAGATACTTACTGCCTTTGATTTAGCATCAAATCACCTTCCATACTTAATAGCATAACAGGAAACACTCATGTCAAAGCCCACTGAAGGACTTTGAGAGATTTGCTCTTGAAAGTCCTGTCTGCAAGTCTTAGACCCTAATTCTTCACCTTTTTCCAAGATACCTGGAGATGCACAACTGCATATGCAGAACTGCAGCCATCTGGGTTGGTAAAATGTGTATGTTAGATTGCCCAGAAAGAAATCACGGATTTTTAAGCACAATTTCTCCTTCCCCTGGGGTCTGTTTCCTGGAGGTGCAGGAGCTTAATTCCCAACAATCCCTTCTATTTCTTGCTTGGTCTAACAATGTAATTTCATAGCTGTTTACATGATGGAAACAGAGGTGGGGGATGTTTTCTGCAGCCCTTCAGCTTAATCTGCCTCTCTCAGCTATTCAAAATCCTGCTGGTCAGTTCATGATTGCAAACTCCAAGCAGAGGGCAGCAGCTTGCACTGCACACACAGATTCTATGATCTTTAAGGTCTTTTCCAACCCAGACCATTCTATGATTCCATTAACTTTGTCTGATGGGGGCCTACAAGGATGCCGGAGAAGGACTCTTCATCAGGGACTGCAGCAATAGGACAGGGGGTGATGGGTTCAAACTGAAACAGGGGAAGTTGAGGTTAGATCTAAGGAAGAAGCTCTTCCCTGTGAGGGTGCTGAGGCGCTGGCACAGGGTGCCCAGAGAAGTGGTGAATGCTCCATCCCTGGCAGTGTTCAAGGCCAGGCTGGACAGAGCCTTGGGTGACCTGGTCTAGTGTGAGGTGTCCCTGCCCATGGCAGGGGGTTGGAACTGGATGATCTTAAGGTCCTTTCCAACCCAAACCATTCTGTGATTCTGATTCTCAACAAGCTGAATTTGCCCTTTTGCCGAAAAAGGTCTTTTTTTGGCAGATGAGCTGAGACATGCTCCCTCTTTCACAGCCATTTGCTTTCAAGCAGCAAATCTCAGCATAGGTGGAAAATAGCCACTTAGATTATATTAGAAATGGTGAGTTTTTATCCTAGCAAGAACACACGATGTACAGCCAGTTGTACTGGAAGGAACGGTGACCCCAGGTGCCTAATTGCTACAAGCACAGCTTGCATGAGAGAGACCTGAAACTTGGCATTTAGACCTTTCAAAGGTCAGGGGAGGGGTAAAAAATAGGTTACTGCTTGTGAGAGCAATTAGTTCGGTCAGCTCTGTGAAACAGGTCAGCTTGCTCAATGATTCCAGGAAAAACCAGTGCTGCTTCTGCAAGCGACTGACCCAAAGCAGAGCAAGGCAGAGAAGTGGAAGGTGAGAACAGAGAGACCCAGCAAGGGGAAAAGTTATGCAGGCACAGGCTTTATGAGAAAAAAGCCCCGTAATTAACATTATAATTTAGATGATGAACATTAGGTGTTAGCAACAGAGGTGTGCGGCAGTAAAGGAGGGGAGGTGCTGTGAAAACTCAGTGGAAACTGGAAAGTGATGGAGGGAAACAGGAGCATCTTGAGCATCTGGGAAGGTGCAGGGGGAAAGATGGTCTGTATTGCTTGTTGGCTTTCATTGATCACTAGAGTTCTGCTGCTCAGAGAAGTCCTCTCTTTTAGTAGAGGGAGGAAAAGAGCCTGTTTACATGGCCCAGGTCACCACAGATGAGATGATGAACATTACTTTTATACAATGCCAAGAAAAAGGCAGAAATGGAGATGGCAGAAATGGAGATGGCAGGAATTAAACCAGAGACAGCTCCAGCTTCCTTTAGGTCTAGGTTTAACAAGAGCTTTCTGAAATCCTGAAAGTGCTTTTAGAACTCTCAGTGAACAAACTCAGTTTGTCTGGCCGCCTGAGTAGCGGAGGCTGTAAGCAGATTGTGCAGTGCATCTGGTGCAGTTTTATCTCATGGGAAAAAGCAGACTCATTCAGAAGTTGGGGAGCAAACAGAAATTCATAGAGGTCTGTACCAATGAGATGTGGTCGCTTTGCATCAGATAAAACCAAGTGGTATTACATTTCCAATTGGGCATTCCTTATCTTACAGATCCAAGGAGGAAGAAGTTCTTCCCTGTGAGGGTGCTGAGGCGCTGGCACAGGGTGCCCAGAGAAGCTGTGGCTGCCCCATCCCTGGCAGTGTTCAAGGGCAGGTTGGACACAGGGGCTTGGAGCAACCTGCTCTAGTGGAAGGTGTCCCTGCCCGTGGCAGGGGGTTGGAACTGGATGAGCTTTAAGGTCCCTTCCAACCCAAACCAGTCTGGGATTCTATGATATGATTCTGGGTTTTATTTGCTTGTTTGTTATCGTTTATTAAACTGTTTTTATCCCAACCCATGAGTTTTCTCACTTTTACCCTTCCAATTCTCCCCCTCCATCTCACTGAGGAGGAGTGAGTGAGCAGCTATGTGGTTTTTTGTTGCTGGCTGGGGTTTAAACTATGACAACCTGCCAATACTATTGGCCTCCACAACCTCCTCTGGCAGCAAGCTAAAGGACCCACTGTGCAAACATGGGGCTCTTTTTATCTGTTTTTAATTGATGTTCTACCAAGTGTCTCCTAGTTCTGTTATTGTGGGATTTGGTGGCTAATGGCCTTCAATCCCTCACCTCCATGATACAGTTAATTTAGGTACATCCTCATCTTCTCTATGTTGAACAGTCCTAGACCTTTGCAGTCTGTTCTGTAAGGCCATTGCCCCATGATTGTGCCCCATGACTATTTCAGTTGCCTTTCTATGGACTTTGTCCAATTCCACTATGTCCTTCTTGAGATGCAGAGGCCACAATGGCAGCATCTCCCCTGTATATAGTTCCACCAAGATTTTATATGACAGCAAAACGATCTTCTCTGCCCCATTCCTAGCAACGACACCCAACTTTGTGTTGGGTTTTTTGGCTGTTGGTGCCATTCTCCAAAATCATCAGGTTAGTCTGCAGCAACCCCGGACATCCCCTGGTATTTCCCTGTGGGAATCAAATGCCAAACCCATTATTGGTACAATAAAATGGTGTATAATGAGCAGATCTGGAGGACATTTAGTTTGTAACCTTATTCTCCTCAGACTTAGTGTCTGGCTGAGCTTGATAGATTTAGTTTCCCTGTAGTGAGCACTGCCACAACTTCATGAACACAGAGATGCCTACATTGGGTTCTTTAATACTTCCCCATGCAAATACAGCTGCATAGCACAGATAAGTTTCTTCTCTAGATATTCATATTTGCAATCATCATTCCTGTGGCCTGAGCAGAAAAATTTCAGGACCTTAAAAGAAACTCATAAATGAAGCATATTATTGTATGGTCATACTTGTTCCTTCTCTTCTCCTTTTTATTACCATCAAGTTATAGTTAATCAAGTATACTTAATCCTGTAAAGGGCACGAGTCTTAAGCCAGGCTCTGTAGTGAGCTTACTTAGGTGTAGTGAGACACCCTGTCACTCTGCTTGACTTTAATAGGACTTTGTATGGCTATCTGTCAAGTTATGGAAATATAACCTAGGTGGATTATAAGGTGAGCA